TATTAGGAAGGATGCGAAATATGCTTCGGTATCAAATCACTACATGAAAACTAACTTGAGTGAGACTCGTGCAGTGTTGTGTTCAGTGCTTACGTGTTCACACACCTGCTACAAGGTAAAGTAACATTTCAAACAGCTTCTAATCCTGTACAGTTCCTTTTCGTATTAAGCAGAATTAATAACTATAAAGAAATATAATTCCTGGTACTCATTTCTGTTGGAGGCTGAGTGAACCCCAGGGCCATAATGCGGCTGAAAGCATTAGGTCAATTTAAAAAAAATCCAATGACCTCATCGGGACTTGAACCCGCGACCTTCCGGCTTGTAGCATAGCCCCTCAACCAACTACGCGGCGGGCGCCTAAGGCTGACAACCTTACCGCCATCCGTGAGCCGATTGTCTAGAAAACGTGGGAGCCTCAACGTCTCGCAACCCTACGGGCCTTCACGGCCTGGTACAAGGATAACTTTACTTTTTACTTTACTTAAAGAAATATAATTATCTGGTTACTGGGTAACAATTTATCAAATGTCATTCTACCTGAAAACAAAATCACGTGAACTGTTGGAGAGGGCATGGCAGGAAGTCGTCATGAACAGCCATTTCAACAGAAACTGAATTAAATCACGAAAAAATGAACACAAGCATGTAGCACCGGACTGGGTTCGATCTTGGTAGTGTCGTCTTAGAAGACAGCAGCGTCAGTAGCGGTGCATTCGAACTTTATGCTTGTTATACCTCTGTGCATCATAAAGCTAACGGATCTAAGTTTCATGTCTGCTTGAGAACACAAAATTCGTTTCCATAACTGATATTTTTATAATAATTTACTGTTCCCTCGCAAACCGTAGTAAACAGCGTAGCTTAGGCCTTTGAGTTGTTACGCCACTGTTGCTAGAAACTGTCGGTAATACAGACGTATGGCTCCAGTGACGAAACAAGATACGTAAATCAACTTCCATCTAATAACTCTGAATTTAAGATCTGAAAAATAAATTGCTATGAACTTATAGTGCCGTAATTATTAATGCATAATGTGAAGCTTGTAATTTTTATTACTTTTTCATACGTTCACGAAAGCACCAAAACCTTTAACCAAACATGGCTGCAGATGAGTACAATCAAACCAACATATTTATATGTATATCTGTTAATAAATTACGAATCATGCAGTTTCTGGAGAGGGGGAAATTCCAAGTGACTCTAAAATGTTACAAACATATACTTATGAACTTCTAAATAAGTACACTCTTTTATAATACTCAAAATATTAAACACTTTCTTTCATAAAAAATCACCGCCGGAATTCCTTCCAACGCAATTCTTGATGCAAATCATCTCTTGCAAACTGTAATTATGCACATCTTAGCCATGATAAATGCAATTCCAAGCGAAACGGTAATACTAGAATTTATAAAACTGCTATATATAAATATAATGAACACTGAATATTCGGAAACAAGGTCACTGCGGAAAGTACCATAACCTGTTCGCCAAGCAAAGTACTTCAAAGTAGTTTCTCCACTTTTCAACACCGCATTCAATTAATCTAAATTAATATGAAGCCACAGGTACTTGCAAGTACTCTAATTAGCAAAACTCACGGTACTGCAGGCTCCTTTACCACACAAAGTATGTCGTTTATCACTGGACATGAGAGTCCCACCTTCACTCACATACGATCAGCGACCTTCTGACGTAACCGAATGACAAGTTGCGCTGAACAGGGGAGGAACAAGGGTTACTCGACACGTTTCAATCTCAGCGAAGATAAACTTACATTCAGCAGCGGTTCCCGTAAAATACTTACATATTATGTTCCAAGCCCTAAATAAAAAATAACACAGCAAATATACAGACATGCCGGTCACGGTAGCCGAGCGGTCTAAGGCATATACTGTCTTCGCTCGCTTGGAAACCGGGATCGTGGGTTCGAATCCCACTCAGGGCAAGGATGTTTAGTTTGTGTGTGTGCGTTTTTCTGTGTTTGTGTACAGGTAGAGGCCTTGCGACGAGCGAGTCCTACCGAACGTGTAAAATCTAGAAAAACCGAAGTGAACGGAGAAGTTCATGGAGGTAGCCCTAGGCCCACTGGGGCTGTAGTGCCAAGGAAAAACAAATACACAGACATCCTTAAATTTTGGGCGAAGTACCGTTTGTCTTCTAATTTAGAATTCAGTATATATGTAATTATAACATCGTCGAAATATTGTTTGTTTACGAAGCCTCACTTTTATCACAGAGTGAGGATTATGCTCTCGAGCTGAGATGTTCAAGTACAAGTGGCGACGTATTCCATTCGGCGTGTTAACTCTTACGCTCTGGGTGTGTATGACGGCATGGAGGTTATGATCCGGTCATTCTTTACCCTGTGCGTGATAAGACCCTCGGGTAAACAACCCCGCTGTACAAATTTGTTGACGCCAGGTCTTTGGATGCAGAGAAGAGGAAATGTCTGCTCTGCTGGTGATCAAACCCCGGTCGTCTGTACCCATACCCAGTTAACACCATTGACAGAGTTAATCACAGGCAATGCTGTACGAATATACAATTAAATAGTGAGAACTGGCCAGAGTAGGTAGAGTCACAGAGTAATATTCAAATATAAAGCCCAGGGGTGTTTCAATTGGTTTTTATAATTCATGAACTCCCAGTTAAACTGTTCTTATCCTTACACTTTGGACAACGATAGAGATGAGATTACTTATTGTTATGTTCGTCTTCAGAAACTGGCGGCCACTTCAAGGGAACGGGAAGAACTGCAGATGTTAGAAAACAATTTGTTCAGGAAAGCGGATCTGAGTAGAACTGAAATAAGAGGAAAGGTATCAGCTGTTATCTACGTGTAGTTATGTTAGGTTATTTATGTACAGGTTGCGATAGACTGGACATGTAGCTTGGATGAAAGGTAAACAATTACAGAATTTTGCGGGGAAATTTATTGGAAAGAGATGTGCTATATGACGTAGGAGACGAAGCGGGAAAATATAAACCCAGATCAGGGCGACATGCGTGTTAAAAGTAAAACGAGTTGGCTCAGGATCTTTTCCAGTGGCTTTGGGTCCTGCTGCCAGAACTACCGAACTCTTGTGTTTCCTTTCATTTACCGGGCACATGCACTGCGCTAAATGGCCCACCAATGCAGAAGCTTGCGCTGCGATGACCTCCAGTTGTCAGGGCCCGGGTAACTAGAGACTCAGCACGTGACTCTCGCTCCTTACTTCGGGAACTCTGCGAGATAAGTCAAGGAACACTGGTGGCTATTGTCGAATTTACTCAGTGACGAATTCCTGGCTGCACATGCCGCACGGCATAGCAGGATTGCGAGCGTTTAAATCGAAACACATGTAGCAGTGGTCGTGACCAATTTTCAGGAATAATTCCTGCCTCAACCGATTGAGGAAAACCATGTCAGGATGACAGACGTTCTGGCAGAGATTCAAACCAGCGATCTCCGTCCACTTTCTACTCAGATGGCGGAGACAGACTCCTAATCACTGTCGGAACTGCCGAGGTTCGAACCCCTCTGTGCGCCCGGCAGGCGTCAAATGGGCGCTGAGTACTCGGAGGGTTCCCTTAATATCCGTGAGGTCTCCAGTTCTAATCTTGGCCATTCTGATTCAGGCTATCGGTGTTGTTCCTCAGTCATTCGATTAGAGAGCCTTAAGTAGGCCACGACCATTCTACGTCCTCTCAAATATATCGCTCAAAGTCATGTCGCCTCCCCCCTTAGGTAATGTGAACTGTGCGAAGTTGACTGATAACTAGAGCAGGAAAATGAAACAGCATCATACACTAGTCGGGTAAAAAACATATATTCAGTTTGTAAGATTTGAGGGTTTCACGGCGGTGACTATGAAGAATGCCGTCTTCTGGGATGTGGCGCCATTTAGATTTTGTGTGAACCGAAGTTTCGAAGGTACTTATCGCCTCCATCTTCACCACCCGCAGCGCCCCATAGGGGTGGAAGGCGTAAATACAAAAGGGTGCTGTCTGGTGCCAAGGGGATTGTTCATGACACTGGTTAAATTCCACCCCAGTGGCACGCAGCCCTAGGCACGATTCCTCACACCTTGGCTTAGGTGGTTTGGGTCCTGTTGAGAATAAAACCCTCATGAACCTCCAGAACCTGAAGCGCACATTTGGGGGGACAGGGGAATCCCAGATGACCAGTGGGAGTGCAACACTAGGCAACCATGCGGTTGCAACCAGGGAAAACTGCATGAAAGGACCACCCATTGGCGGTCACAATGAGAATCACAATGCAGCCATGTGGGAGGCTCTGGTTTTAAGACACTGTTGCCCTTTGTGGGAGTTTAGCCGCCAGTCCCAGTTAGTCAGACTAATCCATACCCTGATAATGATGATGCCCAGGAGGACCACAAGGAGGTATTCCAAATCTGTCCCGACGCGCACTCTGGTCCTGGTTCATGGTGCACCCCCCACCACAGACACAGCTGTAGTTTAGACAACCTCACTGAGGATGGCGTCATTACTACCTGTAACTTCTTACCCTTACCATCCAGCCTGTAATCTGTCACTATACCAACTGAGCTATCATTTTTAAAGTGATGTCAGTCATTCATCACATTTTCAATTCCCAGAGACAAAATGAATGAGTAGTCAGAAGGAGAAAGGAAATTTCAAAATTATGAAGTGTGCTTAGAGTATCTGCATGAACACTATGAAAATCCTCACCTAGACACCTCAGCCCTGGGTTCAGTCAGCATACCTTTATGCATTACTGCAAATATACTTTCTCCATACAAATAATATTACATAGTTATTTATAAACAGATGTAAACACCAGGCCTACTATGTATGCTACTGATGATTCATGAAGTCTGACAGTGTCATGGTGGTTACTACGAAGATTACTGTCTTCTGGAACCTGTGCCTTATTCTGTTAATTTTTTTTAATATCAGGCCAGGTGTCCTGCACATTTCACCTAGTGGCCTGATATATCTATGACATTATTGGAGAAAACAAGTGAAACAGAAGATTTTGTAATACATTTAATTATTTTAACCTTAGATTAAACATGTTTTACAGAAACATGTAATTTCTACAATCAGCTGCCTGACTAGACATGGTATATAGCCAACTGACTACATATACCATAAAGCAGTGAAAGTTTATATTTATATTACAGAAATTTTAAACAGAATCTGTATAATTACTATTTACACAAATGTTCAACCAATACAAACATATCAGCAACAAACATCATGTAATTTGATCTACTAACTAAATTAATAAAACCAAACATACATTTCATTTAAGTTTATCCTACATACAACCACTGCCAACAATTTAAACTCACTCATAGAAAACTTCACAGCTTGTGCATAACACTATAAAAAATCATAACGCCATTTTACACATAAATCAACACTCCATTAAATTCATGAAGAAAGAAACTGTTTAACCTTGTAAACATCACCATATGGCTCCACATATCATAGCACCAAAGTCTGAAATCTATATGTTCCTATTACATCTCTGTAACATGTAGGTCTCTAAATCCATCTAGAAGTACTAAAGGTTATTTTTACTTTCTGGAGTAGTATTGTCAGTAATTCATGAACCATGAATCCTAGTCAAATTTATAAGTATAAAAATACTCAGCATCAGTGAAGAACATAATTCTTTTGAGTCTTCCGCTCAAAGAAAAATTAACATTACAATCCCCACTCACACAAAAAGTATTCCATTAGTTTAACTAAATGTTGTTAATGACAATCATCTACACTGTACAATAAATGTTTCAATAGCCACACCCATTATTCCTTCTTAACACCCCGATTGCAGCAGTTGTACCACTACTATCCACCCCGTTTCAAAAAATGCCAAAGACAGTACGAGTACTAGTTCAACTTTAAAACATCAGAGTAAGGGAACTGATACATCAACATAGTTCTTCAACATTCAACAAGCCAAAGCTTCTAGTATTATTGTGTTCACTGGGTCTATGTGATTATTCAAAAATACACAAAACAAATATCAAAACACTTTTATTTGACTGTTAATTCTGTCTTCCAGTTGCCCAGCTATCACCATGTCATCTATAGAGGTGTCTACATGTGTAGCACTGTGATATGCCACCTCAAGTTGATCACTGCAACTGCTTGCACAGGACCAGAACTGTAATACTTCTCTCCTCCTCTTCCTCCTCCTTCACATGTGGTTCTGTCTCTCTGCTATCAGAGGCCAAGCAACTTGGTGATGGAACATAACCTGCAGCCTAGAACTAGGTTTCTACTGTGAGACTGATGAAATTGTTGATGATTCTGAACTTCACCCACAAGCAACAGCAGTGAAGAAGGTAAATAGTTCCTGCTCAACCTCAAGTCCAAAGATGGTGGAAGAGGGCATGCAGTGGCATGTATTCCTCCCAAAAGGGAGAATGGAACGAAAACATGGCTGCAATTTCTTGACTGATAGCAAATTCAAATTTGCATCTTTCTGAAGACAGTTTTCCTACAAATATAATCCATCTGTTTCTCATCAAACAAATATTTTGATTCAAAGAGAAATAAACTTATGCAGAACACCAAATAAATAAATAAAAAACAGACAAGAAAGTACTGTAAAGCCAAACTCTGTCAGAATGTAATGGTGAAAAAGTCAGTTTGGAGAGTTATGAGAACAACTTACTCAAAATGAGGTGGAACATCTTGGGATCAATTTTTAACATCCTTTAATGACACTCAAGTATACACACAAGTCAACTGATGAAGCTGTATGTCATTTTGGGGCTAAATATACTTTCAAGTATTTATGAAAGGGAAGCTACCATAAGCAGGAAACAAAAATATCTGAGTTATGTGGGGCAAAGAGTGGCTGAATGTGTATCAAGGTGCACACTCTACAGACCCAGAATATAACACATCATTAAGTGTTTCTGACAGACTGCATGAGCCAGCAAAGAATAACGGGTACACTGGCGTACATGGACAGATGGTTCACAAGTCTCACAATTTATGACCGTTTGTGGGCACTCAGAACCAAAGCAGGAGGGAAGAGTGTTATGGCAAATAGGAAAGAAATGTCAAAACTGTATTTTTCAAAGAAAATAAGGAAGAGAGAAAAAGTTTATCTACAGATAAATCAACTCCTAGTCATAAAATTGCAAGATGTCTGTGATGTTTATGTACAAAGCACTGTTCACGAAAACACAACTGAAGCACCAGATTTGAATTGTGCACATGAAAAGCTAAAAGCCACATGTAATGCTAGACTCTAATAAGAATAGAATTTGTATCAAAAAATATGAACAGATGTCATACCATTCATTCTGACAGTCAAGTGGTAGTAAGAATAAACTGTTTCTTCTCTTCTTTGACCTTCCCATAGTAAACTCCCATATATAACATTGCAAGAAATACAAACACAACATCAAGCTCAATCAGTTTGCAAAAAGGTGGCAGAAGGCCTACTGAGTGACACAGGAAATCAAATCGCAGAATGATGCCCAGCAAGTTCTGCAGGCAGAGTATTAGGCAGAAAACCTTTTGCTCATAAGATTCCTGCAAAAGAATAAAGAGAAAAAGGCTGAGCACAGAGAACATGTAAGGAGCATGAGGACAGAGGGAAGCATCACACTGCAAAGGCAGTCAAGAGTCTTTCTATTGTGTTCTGCTGGAAATGTGATGTAAGCACTGAATTTGGCTTCAATGGGTCTCACCCCCAGACAAACCTGTCTACTTCATAGTAAATAATTTTGAAAAAGGCAGAATAATTCAAAAGGAGAAGTACCTTCTGTTATTTCTGAGCTAGACTCTACTCCAGGGAGACCAGAAAATGCAGGACTGTTTACTGCAGCTGTAGATTGCCCACATCCTAATTCTGCATCAGTTTCTTTTTAATTTGCCACATGTTTGCATTTTGTCTGCTGTTGAACCATAAAACTACAAGCTTTGACCTGTCGAACAGTGCAGGTGTTAATTGTCAACATGCTGGGTAGCTTCCTTAACTTCAATTTCAAGTTTTGTGGTAGAAGTCGTACTACTTCTGATTTCCTGGTGAGGCAAGAACCATGGTACTTGTAGTCTGGCCGGATTTCAAGCGTTAACATGAGTCGACAAGACAGCAGTTTTGTGATGTGAGAGAGGCACATGAAAAACATGGCAATCGGATCAACTTTAGGTTGAAGGATACTCAATCCTATGTTTAGATCAGAATTAACATTACAGTGGTGAGACTATCTACAGAAAGATGCTAATCAGTTCACAGTAACAGAGTGCTGATAAGAAGAAAGCTATCTTTTTTATTTTACATCCCAAGAATGCCAAATATCACCAATTCCTTCACTAGAAATTTGGAACTGTAAGCTAAGTAAATTGTAAAAATCACTGCAGATTTTATCCACTTTAACTGAACTCAGAAAATAAGTTCCCTCTTGCAACATGTGGTACTCTCCTGATAACCTAGCAACACGCCATTCAACACATGAATACAACCTCCCCTATGGCTTACTCAATGTCACACCAACCTGCCAACTCAGTTACATCGTTTCAAATATGCATCATCAAACATTTCTAGCTCTTTTGTTATGTAGTTGGCTTTATTCCGTAGAAGTCTGGCTGAATTGGCGGCCTCTTCCAGCTGCCGTATTTCCTTCTCCAGTGACTTAAGTTCTGTGTCCATGTCATTGGTAGCTTCGTCAATAAGATGACACAGCCGTGCAAATGTGCTTGACAACTCTCTGTATGAAGCAAAGTTAATTAATTAGTGTAACCAAGTGTTTCCATTCATAATCATGTACTAACACTTAAAGGCACCTGCCAGAATATTCCTCACCTTTATATTCAACTACCACTATTAATGAAGCAATTATAATCTCTAACTTATTTAATCCAGAGTTTGAATGAAGAGCACATGCATATTAACCTTTATTGGACGGGCCATTTAATTTCCGGGAGGGGCAGCTGGACAGAGTTTATTTAAATGCCCACCCTTCTACAGCAATGAAATTGTAAGCATGTTTCTAAAAATGGTGTGATTTCAACATTTTTAGGATAAACGAACGAAATGAACGCTGCTTTAATCTAGAAAGAATATAGAATCAGATATTCTAATTCACAGATTTTAATATCTGTAAAAATTTTTTACACTGATTCCAAAAAAAAAAAATCCCGAAATTCATACATTTTCTGCACCATGCGTTCTAGCAGTGTAATACATTTTCTGCACCATGCGTTTTAGCAGTGTAAGTCCTTGTGGCAACCTCACATTCAATGTTATCTCTTGCTGAAGCTTATTTATCGTATGGGACATGTCGGTATGCAGGACTGCAGGTGTCTGAAATCGCTCGCTGTGTAATATGTTAGAAAGACACAGGAGTACATTCTCGGAATATGGTGTTGCCAGATCGGTCATTCGTTCATTCATTGCAGTCAAACCATTGTGTTTGTAACGATTTTGAAACACTGCAATATAAGGTTAGCCACCCATGACATCATGTACCATGTTTGAAGCAGATATTCAGTTCAGCCAAGACGTGAATGAGATTTTTGTATGTGTGAGCTCGAGGTTATGATTCATGGCTTCTGGTCGTGGTCTAAACACAGAGAGATTCACTGCTAGAGAGCCATATAGTTCACCGTGGCCACACGACGTCGTATGGAAGATGCTGAAATTGAGAAACAGCTGTTCAATGACACAGATTCAGACTGCTAATCAACCGATTCTGAGAGTGGCGAGGAAAGTTGGAGTTCTGATTCCGTGGACAAAGGGTCATCACCTTCGTCGGCAACTTGGGGACCGCCAGACCAGTGTGGCTGGAGAGGTGTGAATAATTATTCTGGTGTAGCTGCGGGGATAAATATCACTGCAGCTCCACACGTGAATAAGGATTCCACCCCTCTCTGCATTTTCATGCTGTACTTTACGGGGATTATCCATCTGCTGGTGAAGAGACGAATAGCTACTATCACCAGTACCTAGACAGACTTGAAGATGGAACATCTCCACGGCCTGACGTAACTGAATCCAAGATGTTTCTGTTTCTAGGAATAATCATTCAAATGGGACATGACATTAGAGACACACTAAAGGACTACAGGTCGACTGCTGAACAATTTGCCATGCCTTTCTACTCTAATACAATGAAATGCGACCGTTTTCTTCACATTCTTCGTTTTCTTCATTTTGCAGACAACAGTAGAGAAACTGACAGGAATGCCGACAGTTATGACCGACTATGGAAAATTCGGACCATCTTCGACACTCTCAATGATGCATATCAAAAATATTATAACCCTTCTGAACATTTGGCCATAGACGAAATAATAGTTAAATTCAAGGGAAGAGTGGTTTTTAGACAGTACATTCCTAAGAAGCACAAACGTTTCGGAATCAAAATCTTCAAAATTTGTGATGCTGCTGGGTATACCTATGACATGAAGGTTTACTTAGGAAAAGACAGGAAACGTGCCAGCCAAGACGTGACAGCGACACATGCTACAGTTAGGGACCTACGCAGGCATATTGACGGCGTAGGTCACAAACTGTAGCATGGACAATTTCTTTTCGTCACCAGACTTGTTCGACGACCTGATGACAAAGGACATAACGTGCTGTGGGACAGTCAGACCTAATCGGAAGGGCTTGCCTGACGATTTTCGACGAAGACAATTTCGACTGAAGAAAGGTGACATTCGTGTTAGGGTGAGACGGAACTTGACAGCACTAGTTTGGAAGGACAAACGTTACGTACAAATACTGACAAACATGCACTGTCCTCCAGCAGAAGGTACTTTCCGTAATGAGCACAGAAATGCCATCAAACCATCAGTTGTTGTGGATTATAACACGCACATGGATTATAATCCATGTCACAGACCTACAAAAAAAAAATTTTTTTTTTGGTGTCTAGGATTTTAGAACTAATTTTAGTTATATTTAAGGCGCTGAATCTAAATATAAAATCAGTTTTTCTCTACCAGCTCTACTTTTTTAGATCAGCGTTTTTGTAACGTGCAGTTCTACACAAAATGTGCAGTTCTAATTGTATTTTGTGCAGTTCTAAATCTCATATGCAAG